TTTTAGAGTATGGAGAAAAAGGAGAGAAATCTGTGATGCAGAAACACTAGTTGAAAATATTTCAGAATTAAACGTCACCAGTAAATCAGATGGCAACATTAGGCAAACTACATATTTTAACTCGGATTCTAAAGGTGTAAAAAAGTCACGCCAGAGAGGGTGGTTATTGCAACGTGACTAAATCTAGTCCTGGTGCTTAATTTTTTAGTCCTTTTTAATGATTTCTGGTTTTCATTTTCCTTTCAGCTCTGTAATCGCAACCACCTCCTAACTCTTTGTATGCTTAACTGTCATTTGTGATTTTCTTCTATATATTTACATATCTCTGTTTATGCCAACAGCCTCAGCTAACCACTTGGAAAATCTATTGAAAGACTATTTAGGCTGTGGGGAGTATAAACTTAAAAAAGTAAGATCCAAATATTTCTTCATCAAGCATTTTTAATGAAAAAAAATTATGATGCTGACTAGACTTTCCTTGAAGCCTTTTAACTTAAAGAGCTGTGTACCAACTTCTGTCTTTGGCTACAGTCGTTCCCTGCTGTAAGCTCTCAGCAAAGTGTTCCTAGGAGTTGCAAAGTCAATAAAAGATTACTTTGTAAGGTGTGCTGTATGTTTTTATATGTCACACTGTCTCTTATCCTTTAAGTTGCTTCTGAGGGAGGCGAGAAATGATGCCACATGTCTACGATTTCAGGTTTGAATAAACAAGCCTCGCATCTTCTTGAGTCCGATCAATTGCTAGATATATATTATATAGCCATATATAATATATATGTATATATAAATAATTATATATACGCACACATGTATTGGCCATACCGTTGTAGTGTATGTAGACAGGACATAGGGATGCACCCAGGGGAAAAGATGTCTCGTTTCAGACATGATCCTTCTCCCCTAAAATGATGATCCCAAATCCTACAGTTTTTCCAAGATTACCTAGTTAGTTCATAAGGGAAGAGGCCCCTAAGTCCTGTGCGTCCTGATGGGGTGGTAAACCTGGCGGGGGAGAGAGAAACTTTTTTTTTTTAATATAAATTTGTTGTGATTTTTTTTTTAAATTGCCTTGTTGTGGGAATTTTTTCCTTTTTTTTTTCTTTTCCTTTCTTTCTTTTTTTTTTTTTTTTTTGCCTAACAGGGAAGACACACACAGTAGATGCACCGTTAGCTGAACCCCTGACACGGCGGTCTTTTGAATGCCTTAGGTATGATTTCACTTTCGCTCACATCAATGCTGACCTGAATGCCTTTCATATCTGATCCGCTGTGTCTCTCCCAGTAAACATCCCCTGAGGGGAGAACAAAGAAAGGAGCTCTTCTTCTTCTTAATCACAATTCAGCCCATTCACCGCCGGCAGGCTACATTTGCATTCTGCAACAGAAAGCCAAGATGAAAAGAAAAAAAAAGAGAGTGAGAAGAGGGGGGAAAAAAAAGCAGAAGGGTGGAGGCTGAGTAAAATAACTTAGGTGTTTGTAGCTGTTTGTTGGGCTTCCCCTAGTTACAAGCCTTATATAGATCCTGCTCTACCCAGCCTTGGCTCTCCTGACAGGCAGATAGTGTTACAAGATGGCATGCCTGTACTATTCATGGCCACTCGCACTAACACTTGAGGTAAAAAGTGTCAGAGAGGGATCAAATTCTACTCTGAGAAGTCTGCTATAGTTAGGGTCAGGTGTGTGTACTCTCCGCTCTTGACTGCTGCCTATTATTTTGTTTTAATTACTGTTATTGTTGACTCACCATGACCTTGGGGAGCGGGGCTGGTTGGGGTGAGGCGGATCTTGTCCACACAGGCGAGGAGAGAGCAGCGCGGGGGCAGCCGGGGTGTGCAGTGGCCGGGGAGTGGGGCTGGCGTGTCTCCTCCCTGCCAGGGACATGGCGGGAGGAGAAGTGGCAGGTCTGGGGGAAGGAAAAAGCTTTCCCAGATTTGTGGCTGAAATGATGAGCACGTTTGCTGGCGGGGCGGGGGGGGGATTTCCTACTAACCCAAAGGAGCCAAACAAACAAACAAGCAAAACCCCAACGACATCACAAACTTCAAAGGGGAAATGTAATCTCTCTTGTAAGTTTGCGGAGCCAAGTTCTCTCGTGGTTCTCGTGTTCCGAGTCATGTCCATGAGTTTTCCCCAGCTTTGTCATCCGTCTGGTTGAAGTCCTTTTTTTTTTTTTTTTTTTTTTTTTTTTTTTTT